GGCCTGAGGGGACGACTCGGCAGAGGCTGCTGGGAGCTCGAGGAAGACCGGAGACCCCGGGGCCCTCACGAGGCCCGTGGCCGCGACGTCCGGGGATCCCTACACCGACAGCACTCTGACAGACTGGGGAGGCCGTGAGTAACCCCCCGGCGGGCGCCGAGCTCTCCCCACCCCAGACAACAGGTGATCCTGCACCAACCACAGGGACCTAGAGGGCTTGCTGGGCGGTAGGTTGGTCTTTCCCAACTACCTGGGTGTAGACCGATACCTAGCCCCCTTTATGGTACAAGCCCAGAATAAAGCTAGGGATAGGAGCCTCCGTGCAGTTAACGCGAGGACCCCCATCCCACACGAACTTGGGGGGGGGGTGAGGGGAATTCGTGACACCATGTTCTTAAGCTGTGAGTTGCCCAGTTGGCAGAAACAGCTGGACAAACTCAGCTGGTACAACCAACGCGGAGTCCTGTGGCACCCTATAGACTAACAGATTTATTGGAGCATGAGCTTTCGTGGGCAAAGCCCCACTTCCTCAGATGGTACAGTTTACAAAAGTCCAAGACGTTATTGTTCGCAACTAATGTGGCTTTATTATTGTCAAGCTCCTCCCTTTACAGCAGTTAGTTACAGAGTGTCGCACATGGACATGAAGAAACGGAACTAAAATCAAAGAACGAAGGTCGAATAGTAACATGATGCAGAAGAAAAGACCCTGGGCTCTGTTTTTACAACATTCAGCATAGAAAGAAGCTAGGAGCACAAACTGCCAGTTCAGTACAGTTAAGACATTCACCTTTTTATTATAGCTTTGAAATAACAGTTTGTACCTATTACGGACGGGAATATTACACGTTGTTCACATGCAGAAACAAGCAAAAGCGGAGTTTAAATGTTTCTCTCTGCTGTAGTGTCATGGCACCTCTAGGCTGGCCAGTGGCCCATGGGCACACGCCGCCTCTGGCCTCCAGCCACGCACTGGGATGGTAAGGCTCGAGCCTCTTCCAAGGGGTGTGATGTGCGTGGCGGAGGGTGGGGGGGGGTTTAAAATGTATTTGCCTCTACATTTTTGAGGCCAGAGGCGCAAGATGCTGAAGACAGCACCAACTGCCGAGGCAGGACAGAGCGTGGGCCCAGGGCGAAAGCCGCTGCCGGGGCACAGCCCAGCGCCCTGTCCTACGGTGGGCAGGTATGTTCGGCTGCCACAGACTGGGGCAGCTGCTCTTCCTGCCTCACCCAGGCAGGTGCCTGAGAAGCTCCACTGCTGCTCTCAGGATGGCTTCCAGGGCCAGAGCGTAGCCATCCAGGGCTGCCTAAGGGGAGTGCAGTGGCTGTTTCGGCCAAGGAAATGGACTCCATAGCTGAGCATGCATGATTTGCTCCCTCGGAGCCCAGAGTTCAGTGTGTTGCTTCCTGGCACCAGGAGCTGGCCGACAGCTATGCACAGGGAAACTGGGGGACCGGTATCACTGCCTGCCTGTGACTGGCTGTCAGAGCCGCTATTCAGACACACTGAACCAATCAGTTTACAGAGCATAACATTTATTCTCCTGGCAGACACCCTTTGGACCAACTGGTTTAGGAAATACAAAGCAGGAATTTAATAAAGCCCCAAGCCAGAGTCTCAGCCTCCAAACAAGGGCTGTAGCTAGAGGGCCAGCTGTGCCATTCACAGCCTTGCCCCGGCAGCCTCAGCCTCTTTCCCCTGCAGGTGCTGGGCTTCAGAGCCATCAAGCCTGCTTAACTCCGCACAAAATGCAGCTTAACAACAAAAATAAATATATAAATTAGATGCCAAAATAAACCATTTCCTTAGAAGCTCCCTTTTCCCCTCTAGCTGCAGGGCTCTACCCCAGCTGCCCTGGAAATGCTAGTTAGCTAGTGGTGCGGATGAGCGTGTCCCAGCCATGCAGGGCACAAGGACCTGGGCTCAACGCCAAGTAACTCCGCACAAAATGCAGCTTAACAACAAAAATAAATATATAAATTAGATGCCAAAATAAACCATTTCCTTAGAAGCTCCCTTTTCCCCTCTAGCTGCAGGGCTCTACCCCAGCTGCCCTGGAAATGCTAGTTAGCTAGTGGTGCGGATGAGCGTGTCCCAGCCATGCAGGGCACAAGGACCTGGGCTCAACGCCAAGTACCAGCACTGACGTGTGTTTTGGGCTGTGGGCCAAGATTTTCACCCACAGGGTCTTTTGAGTGTGTAGCCCCCCCCCATCCCCCACCTTGTGTCGCTCTGCATGTACCATGCAGCTGCCGGCTCTGCAAAGGCCGCTCCGTGTTACATGCCTTGGCGGAGCAGCTGAGCCCTCATACTCACGGCCCTTGGGCAGGCTGGCGCCTGGAGGGTCTTTTCCATCGCTAGCTGCCCCAGGGCTCTGATTGCTTCAGCAGCAGTGGCAGGCCAGGCCATGGAGGCAGAGTGCTGGTCAGTGCTCCCACGGTAGTGCACGTGTCCCTGGCACAGCAGCGGGGCAGTGATATGGAGAGACCATTAAGGTAACATTCCCCACAGGCTTCCAGAGGCTCAAAGCAGCCTGTCCATTCCCCAGCTTCCTGACACCCTCATTTCTGAGCTGCCTGCACCACTGAAGCCATGCAGGCAGGGAGATCACCACCCAGTCACAGTGATCAGACCGATGGCACCACCAGCAGAGCTGTCTACAATGCGCGTCCCCGCGCCCCTGGTGTTCCGTCCAGAACCTCCCCCCCAAGAAAGCCTTTGGTTCAAAGGACACGACCATCCCAGGAAAGCCCTGGAGCAGCAGCAGCCAGAATTGTCTTGAGCCCTTCTGTTGGGGTGAGTCGGGGGTTGTGCGTTTGGATACCCTTCTGCCTGGGACGTAACCGGCCTGGCTGCTCAATGCGAATCACTGGCCACGTGCAAAGCTGAGGGTAGCAGACTAGGCATGTGCTCTTTGTAGCTAAGAATGACAAGTCAATGCTCCGCCTGCCCTTTGCCACAGAGAAAAAAGATGAATGTGTAATCTAGGGTGGGAGCCCAGCGACTCAGCAGAGGCCTCTGTGATGGGACAAATGCAGCCAAGCGTGGTTGGAGTCCAGTTCTCTCTTCCCAGCATGCCTGGAGGAATGGCCTCTGAGCCAGCGTATTGACACCAGAATCCCTTGGCTCCTCGCCTGCTCCCCTCCCCTCCCTGGCACAGTCTCCCACACCGTGGCCATCGGCACTAGCATCATGCAGCAGCAGCACTGGCCAAAGGAACCGTTCCATGGCCGTGCAGCCAGGGCGCAGGGAGGAGAGCAAGTGCTCGCAGCATTAAGGCAGCCAAATAATGCTACAGCAAAATAAAAAAGGGGAAGAGAAGCTGGCCCT